GATTCAATTAAATCGTTGATATATATAATAAAGAGTGTTGGACCAAGAATGGATCCTTGAGGCACACCTATATTCACAGATTTCAAATCAGAAATATAGTTATTACATTTAACCTGCTGTTGTCTATCAGTCAGATATGATGCAAACCATTGGAGAGTAACTCCACGAATTCCATATCTCTCCAATTTATACAGAAGAATATCATGCCGAACACAGTCAAATGCCTTGGAAAAATCTATAAATAACCCCAGTGCCACTTGTTTATCATCGAGAGCTTTATATATATTATTTAAAAATTCACAAAGTGCAGTGTCAGTGTTTCTATTCTTCGTGAAACCATGTTGGCATAGAGACAAGTTACCATTGGATGTTAAAAAGTTAATGATATTTTTGTTGACGATAGCTTCAAAAATTTTGCCTATGCTTGAGCATAGAGTAATAGCCCTATAATTATCTACAGTATTTGAATCACCTTTTTTGTGAAGAGGAATGACATTGGATATCTTCAGCCTAGAAGAAAATACTCCTTGCTGGAGGGATAAATTGATAATGTGAGTGAGAGGTACAACAATATGTTCAGCGATTTCCTACAACAGTACATTCGATAAACCATCATAACCTGAACAATTTGTATTCTTTAAATTTCTAATAGCTTCCATCACATCTTGACATTGCACTGGTGCAAAAAATATATTTTGGATAGAGGCACTGATGCAGGTATCAATATATGTGTAGTCTACAGTAGATGAAAGGTCGCAAGTGACTTGGGAAGCTAGAGATGAGAAAAATTCATTGAAAGCATTTGCACAATCACCACCTACTAAAATCTCATTATCAATGCATAACTCAATTGGGTGATATTTTTTTGTTTTACGTCCAGTTATAGTATTGACGACATCCCAAATTGCTCTATTTTTATTTGTAGACTTAGACACCTTGTTATCAAAAAGCAATTTTTTGTTTTCAGAAAGGGTTTTTTGATATAATTTATTCTTATCATTGAATATATCTCTATATTCAGGATATATCCTACCTAGATCTCCATACAGTGAGACCTCCGCTTCCAGCTGAAGTAATTCTGGTGTCATTAAAAAATTATTTTTTCTACATTTATTATACCTAAGTAATGGGAAAGAATTTTCAAAATGATAATTGATAGTATCCATGAACTTATTGAAGGAAATATCACATTCAGGTTCTCTGTATATTTCATACCAGATTTCTGAGCTGAGGAAATTACAGAATGACGAGACATTACTCTTACTGAAATTTCTCCTGCGGTTGAGATGATTTTCAGGAGTAGGCATCGATACAACAATAGTTATTGATTGAGCAAAGTGGTCTGATATGTTTGTTTTAAGTATTATGGAGTTGTCTGAGGTTACTAGCTCGTTTATGAATATATTATCAATTAGAGTGGAGGAAGTTGGAGTTACTCGTGTTGGCTCTTCTGTGTTGGTTGGCAACATACCATAACTGGTCATCAAATCAGTGAAGCTACGCTTTATATTATTGTTTGCCAATAAATCTATATTATAATCGCCACCAATCAATATGGGCTTGTCTATATTCGATAGCAGATCAAACATTTCATTGAGCTTATGCATGAAAAGACCGTTATCAGAATTGGGTGAACGGTATATACATATCAAAATCAGACTAGGATTCTTGACTTCCACTGCACAACACTCGAAAATTTGAAGTTGGGACAGTTTTTCTATGTCTCCAAGCACCTTCGTCTGATATTTAGAATTCGCGAAGATAGCGACACCACCATGTTTGAAAATTGGACGACAGAACTGAGAGCTGAGATTGTAGTTTTCAAAGTTAATGGCACTCATTTGATCTAAGCATTGCCAGTGTTCACTGATGAGTAAGAAATCCGGTTCGAGTTCACTAAGCAGTACTTCTAATTTTAAAATTTTATTACTTATGCATTGTATATTCTGATGAATGACTGAGATAGTTTCGGTATTATGAGTGACATGCTGATTAATTAATTGTCTAGGTCCATTTGTGAAAGTCTTGGGTATAAAAAATTTGTATTATTCGACACATTCTCACTTGGTTCAGCTTTTTTAGTGGTAGAATCATCTGAATAAGAATTTATTGAGGTTTTATTAATCTGCGACATGTCCGTAGTGTAGTTGAGATCCTCTTCAAAGCACAGCTGTGATAGTCTTGGATATAGAGATTTTGATCCACTGTTTGTTGGAATAGGTTGTTTAGTCTCATGGGGTGTTGACCTTGAGGTCTGTAGTTTGTCACTGATCAAAAGTTCCTTTATGTTATTTATGATGTCTTTAGCTAGAAACCATTTACCTTGTCCATTAATATTGAAACCATCAGAGTGGTAATTATATTTCCTCAAAATAGCATTTGTGTCTAAAGCACATCTAGAAGATGTTTTCTGAGATACTGAGAAGAGTGAATTCCGTTCAGCCAGGTGGAAGAATACAATTCTTCTTTCCCTTCATGTTGTTTTCAAATTTCCATGTAAATACATATATAACTTCCTCATGCCACTTGTCAACGTTAAATCAACTGTTTTTTTTCTTCTCATGTGAACTTGCGATTCTTGGTTGAATAGTAGTAAAAAATGTTTTGCATTCTTTCGCTTTTCATAAGCGTGCTTGATGATACACAGATCGATTAAAATTGTCGATATGTATTTCAGTAAGGTACCTAAAGACGAGGCAACTGTAGGGTTTTCTAAATGACTAGTATCCTCATTCGCTCCAGCCAATGTATTGAATCTGTGGTATTGATCACCCTTATTGTATCTGGTCAGTATTTAGGATCGAATACATCTGTCAAATTCTGAATATCCGTATTTAGTTTTTAAAAATCTCCCAATCAATCGCAGACGTTGCCGGATCATTTCGCAGTAACCTTCATTGCGATATTACTCGCACATCTCATCGGCATGAACAATGGCTTATTTATCGTACGATATCGTCTATTAGAGATGGAAACAGTTCTTCTCCCACCATTTTATTGGCTGAAGAATGTAACCTCGCTGCAATTTTTTTTCGCCTACTGTAACGGCCTTTATTCATGGTGCCCTCACTTTGGCGCTTTTTCGGTCAGAGACTACTCTGGTACTTGTCGGGGAGGGGGAGGGGGATCATTTATGATGTGGTTTTCTCCACCTGCTCTGCACAGAGCTATTTTCTTACAGAGGCCTAAAGTAGCAACAGTGGAGACAGGTACAGGAGGTATACATACCTTGGTACCTACAGTTTGAACCAGGGGTCAATTTTATACGGGTTGCTATTCTTATTCTGGATAATTGCAGGAATCAAAGCAGATATCTTTGTCGAAAACGGGTCTCTGGTATTCATAGGTTGGGCCCAGAGAATGATTCATCGAATCAAACCTATGATAAATAAAGGAGCCAAGGGAGTGTAGGCTTCGATTACAACCCCTGGGTTCAGCTTGGAATACTGGTTACTATTTTCATTCTGGATGATCACAGGTATCAAAGCAAATAAGGGTCTCTGGTATTTTCAGGTTAGGCCTGGCAAATTATTTATTCAAACTATTACATTGAAGTCTACCTGGAGAATCGGAAACACAGTGGCAAATGAATTAAACAGAATCAATTCATATTATTCTTTTCTTTTCTTCAAATCATCTAATTGTTGCCATATCGAAATTTTATTGGGGTGAATTATCTACCTATCGCGGTGTATGAAGGTGAAGAATGTGGGACGGAAGCGAACGAAGGAAGTTCACTCCAAACGAAACAAAACAGTAGAATATGGAATAGTAATACAGAACGAATATAGACGAGTTTGTCAACAGTTTTTACTGAAGACTCTCGACATTAGTCCGATGACACTTCGACAAACTTTAGACAATGTTTCTGAAACAGGAAGGATCAAAAAAGATTCTCGAGGTCGGAGTGCACCGAAAAAAAAAAAAAAAACTACTGTCGTCCCAAATCGAAGAAGCTGTACATCTCATCAGATATAAGAACTTTTTCAAATCTATAAAGGTTATACAAGGAGAACTGTAATATAGTGAAGAAGACTCCAGTAGGAAGATCTACTTTTTTCAGGGTATTCAAAGGATTTAATTTGGGTATTCATGTTCCTAAAAAGGACAAGTGCAGTCATTGCGACAAAGTCAAAAACATTGGCGAATGCAATTATTTGAATCAACAGGATAAGCAAACTTACAAACGCCATAAAGATGAGATTGAAATAAGTCGTATCAAGTTCAAGAATGACCAAGAAAATTCTGACCCAAATTTCCTGTGTGCATCTTTTGATCTCCAAAAAGTTCTTACCACACCACATGGAAATAGCGTTTTATTCTATTATGCGCGCAAGTTGGCCGTGTACAATTTCACTGTCTATGAAAGCGGGACAAGAAACGGATTTTGTTACTTGTGGAATGAATCATTGGGAAAAAAAGGTTCGAACGAAATATGCACAGCACTCAACATGTATCTCAATATGTTAGATCAAAGGAAGTCTCCTGAAATCTATGAAATATCGTTGTACTGCGATAATTGCAGTGGACAAAATGAAAACAAACAAATTCTGGCGATGATTCATAGATTTCTCAGAAGATCAAACCATGTAGAGAAAATTTCGATTAATTACCTGATCGCAGGTCATACATACATGCCTGTAGACTCTATGCACTCTACAATAGAATCATTCATATCAAAGAAAACGATCTATGCACCATCCATGTGGTCAGCTGCTATACGTCTTGCAAGACACAATCCCCAACCTTACTGTGTGTATTCGTTGAATTATAAAAATTTGGATGAATATTCAACAATCGTTAAAATTATTCCCAATCAGTCTAACTCCATAGTAACTGAGACCAGAGATACAGTAGGATTTGAAGAATCTTCCCAGATTATGAGATCAAAATTAAAAAGAAAAAGGACAGATAATGTGAATCAGACGAATGATAATAGGAAGAAAAATCAGTCAGCCAAAGGAAAGCCTCTTTAAATATCAAAAGTGCAGATTGTTGAAATGGAAGCAGAAAATGCCAACATGCTAGTTAGGTACAGCTATATCGATGAGTTTGGAGATCAGCAAATATTTACTCTTCAAGACGATGATAAAAAACTGAAGAAGTGTTATACTTCGATGTTGCCAATATCAGCAGTATAAGGATCTCATAAAATTTTGTAAGCAAACGGCAATAACCAGCGATGACCATGCCGAGTATGAGACTCTTTCACATTCCAAAGAAATTATTGATGTACTACCAGATACAGACGAGGAAGATGAAGTCTAATGATCAGAGTCAATCCAACAATAAAATATTCAATGTATAAGTCCACATCTCGTCTGATCTTAGTTTTGTTCTATTTTTGATAATATATATTTTTTAAATCTATGTAGACTTTTTAATATTTCAATGCACTAATTAACAATTCATTTTCACAACATAAAAATAAGTCAATAACTTAGTCAATTACTTCTCACTGAAAATAAAGTAATAATCGATATTCACTCTTTGGCGTTTACGATGCCCCTAGAAAAAAAGTTATAATCGATGAAAGTCTTAAGTGACGACAGAAATATCGTAAGCTCGAAAATAACAGATAAGTATCGTTAGCGCCAAATATTTCTTCTCAGATAGAAAAATACCTCAAAACTAGTGATATAACCAAGTGGTATCACATGACATAACATGAAACGAATAAATTAACGATAATCTTTTGGGAAACATAAAAAATACCAGTTTTTTTCATCTCCTGTGAAAATACAGAAATGGTACATACGATACTTCGACTGAACAGGGACGATATCATGGTCACTGTATATCTCGAAGCAAAACTGCTGTATGAATTGCCACATAGCAACACTTTCCAGAGGATACTTTAAATTGAACACATACAAAAATTCAAAACAGCAATCCAGAGATAGAACAAATTGATGACAAAAAGCTATATTTTATTTGGTCATAGCAGACCAAATATTGTTTTGGTTTTATTATGTCATCCTCGAATATGACTACCAGAGAAGGCTGTATCCAGTGATTCTGATTTTTTCTCTCTAGAAGTTTTGTTTTCACTGCATCGATACTCCTGTTACCATAAAGGAGTCCTGCGATTCAGTTATCGTGAACTTTAGTAGCACTTTTCTGGTTTCCATTTTGACAGTATTTCTCGAAGTAAGTTGCAGCAAATTTTCCCTCTGAAATAAAAGAACAACATCAAAATCATCATCGCCAAACAACTACTATAGGTACGGTTGTTGTCTGAAATCATGTCGCGATTGGACGGTGTCAGCGCCCTTATTGCAGGAGTTATCAAGAATGTGTTGTCGTCCATGTGCGACAGGTTTTCTGGAGACGAGTGTACATCAAATCATCTGAAATGAACTATACCTTCGGAAACAGATTCATCATCCAATTCTTCAAGAACTGCTTTACAGTGTTTGTCCTAAATTTTGCTTGTGAACAATTCCAAAGCAATGTTTACGAATGAGTTTAATTATGTGTATACATTAGCGGCTATGGGGTGGATAGTTTCAAAGTCTTAATCGATCTGAAACAACAATCACAACATAACAATAACATATATCGACAGAATGCTGCAAATGAAAAAAAAACTCACCGAAGTTCTTCTCATAGGGTGTTCAATTGTTCATAACATGACCACTCTGTCAGAATATTCATTATATTTTTGGACTCATCCTCCTTGAAGAATTTTTTTCTGGAAGTCTCACACTTCCTCCATAATAGTTTGACTTCATCCCATCTTCTTCCCATGTGCATGAAATTCAGCCTTTCTTCCGTAACAATGGCATCTCCTCTAGTTCGTAGAAAACTAAAAATTCATCACCAGATTCGTTATTGAGAAAAAAAGAGTTTCAGAATGGGATGATAGAATAAATTTGAAGTCATCACTTCCATTCATTCAGAAATTCATTCATATGAATGTCAAAATGTGTATGTATACCACATTATCCTAGATCACACCAAAATCTCAAATAATAATAATCTCAAGTGATGAAATAGCATGATGTCTAATATATATTGCTATATTGAAATTGATCAAATGTTTGCGACGATGCCCCATAGTAAAGAGTTTTGATATTTACCAAATTGTTGCAACCTTAAATAATAAATACATTTTCACGATATTCACCTCGCATGGAGTCCTGGTGTTCTCTTCTTGTTTCCGAAGGATCCCAATCAGAACTATGAACTTCAGTTTCATCATTTGGTTGTAATATTTTGCCAGTAATTTACTTTTCGGAGTTGTATTCGTCTGAGGAGTGAAATAGTATTCCTGAAATGGAATTGCTTCATGAAATAGTAGAGATGAGAACTTAGTGTACTTCTAGGTTGAGTTCTGGGAATAAACATGAAATTTGATTCGATATGGTCCTTGCCAACGAAACTTATCTTTTTTTCATTTTGAATGAAATGATCTACTATTTTGCCCACTAAAATTTGTTGTTGTGCCGCTGGGAGTTCTTTGATGTTGGAGACAATCAGTTTCAAAATCATTTCCCTAAACTGAGTCAACTGCTACAACATTGTGCCATTATTTTTATTTTACCACTTCAATAGTATTTTCTTCATCAGGCTGTGTTGAGCTCAAATTATCATGTTCCACATGCTTCTCAACTACTTGGGACGTCGTTATATTATTTTGATACATGTCTTCATGATCATAGGTCCCCTAGGATTTTACTACTAAATAGTTATTTATTCATTATACTTTGAATAATACTTGCAATAGATTTTGGCCACTCAAATTGGGAATGCTTAGATTCAACTCTTATCCCCCAAGGAAGGTTTAGAACTAAAACTGGCAACTGGTCGTAACGGGCATACTTTGAAGATGTCAAATCAACTTCAAGTGCTGAAAATAAAATGCGATTTTTTGAATTCGGTATCTCCTGTTACCTCGCCATCGAAATGTTCTTCTACTTCTGATTCGACCCACTGTTTGAAACACGTTGAGTGCCGTATGTATCCAACACGGATACACGAGATACCTATGACGTTTGCATGGCGGTGTGTATCCATGGCGGATACACAACTATTTTTGTTAGTTCAGCCGCATGTATCGACGTTGGCTGTATTCCTTGTGTATATCTTTATGGGGGCTTCCGCACTACGGCCTGGCATATCTAAAAACATATTTGGCCTGTATATTTCAGCCTTAGTTTTTTCAGACGATATTTTCAGTTAGTGGGTATGAAATACGAAAAGTTTCTATTGAACGACAAGTAACACTAAATTATAATTAAGAATATATGAATCTTATAGGAAATGAACATTACAATCATAGGTTGAGTATTTCATTTGAACTTCGAAAAAACACGATAAGCAGTAATATTTCTCACATGCAACACATCTGAATTTGTTTTTTGTGGTTTGATAAGCTGCAGCTTTTCTGCCTACCTCTTCAGTTTTTTTCTTATGACGCTATACACATCTTCCTCTTTTTCTACTAGCACCCCGACTCTCTTCTAAATAATATTGGGCTGGAGGTTCATCTGCTGGAGCTGTAGTGTCGAGCGTCTCAGTTGGTAAATATAGCATTTCTGATATGATAAGTTCTTTATACTTGGTTATCGGCATATTGTCGTGTGCAACCTCCTAATGCTATATACAGGGTGATTCAGGTTTTGAGGCAAGAACTGGTATGGGAGATAGATCTCATCATGTTGATCAAAAAGAGTTTCATAAACATTAGTCCGTTCAGTAACGGAGTTACAGGGGGTCAAAGTTTAATTATTTTTCTCTATCAATCAAAATATCTCGCTTACTTTTCAAGATATCATTTTGAAATTTGGTGTGGTCAATACTTCCCAGAAGATCACCATTTCAAGCATTTCAAAGATGTTCAAAATCTATAGGGTGATACGTTTTTGGGGGTAGAGGCTTCTTTATCCCCTTCAAACTTTTTCGTAGTACGCCTCTGGCATCTTTCAGTGATCAAATTGTGTGGATAGTTCAATTTAGAGGCTTTTTTAACTCCTCAATTTTTTTCGAGAAACGAACTGTTTTTGATATAAATAAGCATATACGTTCGAAAACATGTTAATTTTGCTTATGTTTCGCTCAAATTGTATTCTTTGACAAAATTCGTTGAAAATGCAACAAAATGTTCTGATATTGCAATGTTCTTACGCACGTTACTGATCCAGATTGGACTCATGATTTCAATAATTGAAATTATTTCAGTGAGTACATTTCATTGCATTTTCAACGAATTTTGTCAAAGAATAAAATCGAACTTCACCACTGACTCGTCGATACTTTGATTTTGGTTTGGTTTGAAGCATGCCAAAAAAGCGTGTGTCAATATATCAAGCATAGGACGAGCTTGTCATATCCAAGCTCACCTTTTTTGGGTTGAGCATAATTGTCATCTATATGTATATGTCCCAAGAGCCATGCAAAACGATCCCGAGGCATTACAGATGAAATGAAAGGATCTCTGAGTTCTATCTATTTATCTATCTATCTTTATAGTTCGGTTTTTTCGTTATGCTCATCATGAGATTGATCCCAAATTAAGATTTTTTTCCGTCGTATGTTGTAGAATCATAACATTCTTCTGAGTGGCATAGAGATCAGTCTCAAATACCAGCGTCTTCAACATTTCCCTAGTGAACATGCATAGGAATACCTTAGTAGGAGATTGTATATCATCCGGTACATTTGGACCACAATTTTCTTGAAACGTACCAGCTGTAGAAGCATACTCCATATATTGCGTCCACTGGAAGTCTACTACGAAGACATCAAGAGGAAGGGCATCTTCACTGTCAAAATCATCAACAGTTGCATACTGTCCGTCACTTTCATGTAGAACGTCCACAAATTCATCACAAATCGGCACATAATCATCTAATTGGGAGTTTCCAACGAAATTTTCTTCGAGTTCATCATCTGATGGAGCACCAGATGTAACAGACTTTTTATCAGCAGAAATATCACTCAGAAAGGTGAGGGCTTCATCAGACGTCAACTTTTCGAGATCAATTATTCTGCCGTTTTCACGTCTTCCTACAAAGAGCAGAATAACAA